TTAAACACGAAGGCGCGCTATAAAAGGAGCCTTAGGTCCCACTGGACCATTTGTCAATCAACCGTCGTGTGATGTAGAACTCTTAGAGTCAAGTCAGCTTGAGCTACAGCTACTCCAAAGCAGTGAACAGCGGGCGCATTCCTCAAAATTGTTTTATGTCTTCATCACAATACAAGAATTTTTGAGATTTGTATTTCCTTTCTCTAATAGAAACTGTCTTTATTTGTGGCGGTAAATTTGAGATCGAAGTAGGTGGTTCGCACGTTACCTCATGCCACCATGCTGGTGGAAGTAAACAATAGATATCTCATTAGCTCCTTTTGTTCGTCTACCAGCATTAAAATTTGACCCGCACACGTCAACGGTGAGTGAGAAATTAGCCTAGGTCTTCCCAGGGAAGACTTCCTTATGTAGCGTGCCTTCGTGTTTAAGATGTGAGGTCAGTAATCATCTTTCTTTCCGATAGGACCTCATAGTAACTTTTACAGCATATGACATCTGACATACTTTTTTCTTTCTTTCTTTCTTTCTTTCTTTCATTAGGTGAATGTAAGTATAAAAAGATTTGCCGCAAACACGAAGCAGAGCATCGCTGTCGAGGTATGTAACTCAAGCTTTCCTTTAGAAGTCTATTATGTCATTCCATCGCTTAAAACATCAAGCAAGAAATTGAGCGTGAATAGTTTTGAACTTCGATTAACGAGATAACCAAGCATTCGAACAAGAAAAAGAAGAACCCGAGACCTTCGGATTTTGCGTACCGATGCCCCATCACGGAGCTGCAAAGAACTCGATGGCAGGTGGGACCATAACTGAAGCTGGCTGTTTGCAAAATGAATGTCGCAAATGAATCCAGTATCAGCATCATGGTCTATAGGTCGACATAGAGTTCCCTGTGGCTCAGTGTGGCATCAGAAAGCATCTTTCTTTATCGTCCCCAAGTAAAGGAGGAAATGAAAACTAGATTTGCTAACTTGCCTCTGGCGCTTGGCTTAACAACAGTATACTTCGACTATGAGCAATATTAGTAAATTGATAATGATACTTCCCTCTTTTCTTTGATCCCAGATTGTTGCCCACTACCAACTGATTCCATTTTTTCACTCATCAACAATGATCGGCCCTGCCTCAGAGAAGAAATATGTAGAGAGCTTAATAAAAACAGCGACTATAAAGATTTGGCTATTTGCGGCAGAGTGGAGGCTGAGGTGAAAGAGCTGTATGAGGGTAGTCCAAATCCCGCGGAGCGTGTCTTGGATCGACTGAAGGCAAAGCGTCCACAGCTGAAACTTAAGGAATTCCAGGAAATGCTAACAAAGATCAAACGCAATGACATAGCGCACATAATTGAGAATCATCATTTATCATGCAATCTTTGTATGAAAAATAGTTTCGACTCAAGGAATTAGGTTTGTTGTAATTATTAGGAGACCACAAAAAGCTGGACATTTTTAAATAGGTTTTAGTTAGCTGTACCATAACCAAAAACAAAGGAACAATAGAGAGCTTTTCAATTGATCTTCGAACGGAATCCGTGATTGCATTGGTTTTGAATACAAGCCTGTGCAATTGGTTTAGAAAAATCCCCCCCTTCAACCAATCACATCCAAGCTAGAACTAATAACGATCTAGTCAGTTCTGCCTCTCGGCGTTTCAGTTTAATTGCACTTTGAAATATTAAACTTTGAGTTTCTTCAGATGAAAATATTTCTTTTTTCTGATTGCTGACTTCAGTAGACCACTTTCATAAATGGCTGCCGGATAAATATTCTTTTGTTTAAATTTAACTTAGCCCTTCTGGCCTCGTTCTCCTGTACAAAATTCAATAGAATACATTATCTCAAGCGAGGCCAGAAGGGCTCACTTAAATTTAAACAAAAGAATACTTATTCGGCAGCCATTTATGAAAGTGGTCTATGGTTTTGTTTTTACGGCAGTCAAATGAAATGCACTCTATTACGACCAATTAGAAAAGAAGAGAAGAACTATATGACACTGACACTTGTACGGGAGAAGATTCCAGACCCATGTTTGGATTTGATTGGTTGGGAAGTTTTCTTCTGCATTCTAAGCCAATCATTGCAAAACTTAAGCAAATTCGAAAGAATGAGTGATAGAACACCTTTTTGAAAACCTTCCGTTAACTTTCACCAATTTAATAATCATGCATGCTGACAAAATGAGTTAAAATGTGAAAAGACTTTATTTTACTTTTTTGTAAGTGTGTAAGCTCGATTCCTAATTTTAAATGGGAAATTTTTTTAGATACTTCCATTTTTTATTTGAGAGGTTTGCAGCAGAAATGTCGATGCCGTCGTGAAAAAGTTTTAATTCGTTTCGTGCATCGCTTTATGAGTTATACCAATACGGGAGAGACTTGTTTATATTAAACAGTAGTTCGTAGCGTGAAAACGTTAGAAAATGTTAGTTTTCGATAACCTTCTGTGCGATAATCAAGAAGTTATTGTTTCAACTTAAATTAAAATATTTTAACTGCTGTCCACTGCCGGCCTTCTAATTACGTCCATTCTCCACATCACTGTCTCCCATGATCCTTCTCGACTCCAGTCCAGCCTGTATCTCACCAACAGTCCTGACGTCACCGAAAGGCTCACCCCAGACTTCGCACAGACAACGAACCAGATAGAAAGTTTTAGACTAGACTGGTTTTGCACCTGGGAGGGGAAAAACTGCATCTTTGGTGGGGATAGAAACGTAGCAGGCGTAGTGACTTATAGCCTGAGGTGATCACGTGCTTAAATTGGGTCTCGGTTAGTTTGAAGGTACAAAAAGCGGAGGAGCGAAAAGTAGCCATGTCTCGTAGGTCCTGATTTTTCTTTTCAGTGACTGACAATCTGCCACTGGCCTCATGATCGAATAGTGGCCGAAAGAAACGCGAGAATTGGGAAAACACTGTAATGTCTACCGTGTTTTAATTTTTATAATTTGGCCTTCACAGTCGTTAAGCTATAATACATGATCGAGAAATTAAAAAGCTTTCTCAGAAAAGAACCGAAAGGTTCACTGTTGCGTAAAGAATTTAAAATGCGTTTCATAATCTCAATAAATTGTCTTTATTGGTCGGGAAAGAACCCCTCACCCAAGGAGGTATAGGAAAAGGCCCCGCCCGAAAGCAACCTCGTTCTCAGGGCCTTTTCCCGTTGTTAGGGGTGGGGCGGGGCTGTGGCGGGATCTTTCCTTTTCGCGCCCCACCCCCAACAAATGGAAAAGACCCTGGGAATGAGGTTGGGCCGAAAGGATTACCCTAGGCTCAAGACTGACTAACCTAACAGGATAAGGATTACACGGGTAGAGTTTAAAAAAAGGGCGAAAACAAAAAAGCTGTCGGCTGAGTGTTTGAATGGGAGTATCGGATGAATTATTCGACGTTATGTCAACTTAGCGATGGTCTTTCTTCATTTATTAAAAGTGCTTCTATTTTATAATCATGATTTCCAGATGTGAGAAAAAGATTATAGGCATTTAATTATTTACAGCACGTCCATTTCCAGTATTTTTTTCTTTCAGTTTCTTATAACCGGTAACACTTGTTTCGGTTTCAATGATCTCGTAAGATACGAGATCTTTCTCTGTAATCAAAAACTCTGCACCCGCCTCTAGCTCCATGTCATATAAGTCGAAGCGATGCGTCCACTCGTTTTCCTTCCCCGTCAAGACCTGAAACTTTCCAAGCAGAACAGGCAGACATTCTTCTGTTTTGTCATCGATCTCGAACAGGAAACTCTTTAAAGAAACAGCCGAAATTTCTGATTCACTGCTTCTATCCACAATACTAGCAATGAGAAGGACGAACCTATTAATATCGTGAGAGGGCATCGTTTCCCAAACCATTTTCTCATCGTGCACACTCGGTCGATCTAAGCCACTCTGATGCGAATGCCAAAGAGCAACGTGTTCCATGCCATGATTTCTACTAATATAATCCTCCATTTGACTCGCATATCTAACGTCTTGATGAAATGAAAATGTTGTTCTACGACAGAGCCGACCGGGTCCAATAATGTGGTGAATATTTAATATATTTTCAAGACCGTCATGAGATCTTTCCCACAAACCAAACGCGTCTCCACCGGTTTCTAGGGTTGGGTGCTTCAATACCCAGCTAAAAATCCTTTTGATGTCATTTGCTTGAATAAAAATGGTAAAATGACGGCCACTTTGCGAAGACATGTCGGTATGTAACACATCTTTCAATGAGTGCGGACCATTCAAGAAAAGAAACAACAGTCACAGGATCTTATAATGGCGTGACAGATCTGGTGAAAATCACACAACCGGGTTCTCCCACATTTCCTTGTCTGTGTAATTTTAACATTAGAATCAAGAGTCATACATTGCTTATACTTTGACGATTTTCTTTAGATTATCAAGCAAGCCTATCCTATGGAACCTGCCTGCCTGATTTATTACATCAATCCTATTTCACACAAATAAAAAATTGATGAAAACAGAAAATAATTAGATAGACTCAGGAACGCCAGGTTTTTAGAGTGAAATAACAAGCCTTTTCCTTGATTAATGAGTGGTTGCTGATTTGAAAAAAAAAATACATATATAATAAGCGTTGAAGAGTGAATTCAAAACAGCAAGCCATCTCTTTTGAAAGTGAAATTTTTACATAGTTACGACTTTCTCGGAAATGTTTTTATTTTAGTTGACTAATTTGCATATATTATTTCGAGGTCACGTTTCCGAGAAAGAGCGGAAGAAACTGTCTGTCAAACTAACACCACGATATATTCGTTTACCTCGATTCTTGGAAAGATGTAAACAACAGAAGAATTCACCTTCGTTTATCAAAGCGCCTGAGCGTCGCATTTGCCTGAAAATTGAGCTAATCTCTGCTCTACGTCGTCACTGCTGCTCTAGCTTACGGGGAAACAACACGAATTGCGTTCTCTCAAACCAGTATGGCAAATTCTCCCTTTACAGCTTATATATTTGAAGAAGATCGTCAGAAACTTATGAGAGAAGCTGGTGGAAGTAGAGGTGGAAGTTTGTTTGGTCAGTGGACGAGCACGGGTAATCCAGTGGTTCATTATGCAGTACCTTCCTATGTCGATAAGGACACATCTGTAAGAGTAATTGGTGAAGAACTTTGGAGTCGCTACAGGCTGTGCCATATCGGAGAGTGGCGATCAGTTAGTCAGTACAGTGGACGGTCTGATCATGAAAGAAGCCGTCTTCGATCAGAGTTTAATGGTGGAAACCCCAAAAGATTTCTTGTTCTTGATGTGGACACAACTAAAATATGCGCTTATCTATTTGAAAGCGAAATTCAGATGGGAAGGGGAAAATTGGAACCACTCAATGGTGAAAACCCATTCAATCGTTCCGATGTCGACCCACTGAAAACAAGAAGACAACACTATCATTCGCCAGAACAACCCACCACGACGCAAGAATGGGGTCGGTCTCAGCCCAAACGTCACGAGCTGCAAGAAGCTGTTACGAGAAGATATCAGTGGTACTCTGTTGCAGGAGGAAATGAAAAATTGCTAAAGGTCCTTGAAGAATTCAAGAAGATTGCTCATCAGGGGGAGGTGAATATGAGCCGAGACACTACTACAGAAAACATGATGATGTCGTTTATAGAAAAACGTCATGGAAATAAGTGGCAGGTCAATTTTCCATCCACGTTTCCCAATCCGGGAGCAGTTCTAATTGAAAACCCAGACCCGCGAGGCCGTGGAACAGACCATCGGCAGGCTTCCAATAGCAAAGTAGAACAGGCAGTGAGGAACATGATTTCCACTATCCAGTCAACTTTTTCTTCAGGAAAAAGATATTATAGGAACTGATAAGAACTTATAAAACAGTGATAATTACATCTGCATGTAGGTTGTATCCGGACAGATCAAATTTTGATTTTTCAATTTCCAACAATGATACGATTTCTGGAATTTATCCTCGTCCCAATCCGCCTGCCTTAACCATAATGAGAACACGTAGCTTAAACCTAGGTCACACCGGAACCCAGATTTAGAAAATTAAGAAAAGTTTGTGTTTGATTTTTGTCTGTAATAGAGATGCACACTTAGCGTGCCGAGGTTGGGATAATCTATAACAGTTACAAATAATTGATTTAAAATATCACAACAATTAAACGTTACTTTTTCGCTGGCTGAGTGAATTTCTTGGATGTTTGATTGTTTTAACATCTCGACGATGTAACTCACGCCTTTGTGCACGGAAAATTAAAGTAATTATCAGAAACAACTCATCACAATAACCCTTCTTTCAATGAACTTCACAACTTTTCAAATTTTTCTTCTTTAGTATGCGCTATTAATTACTCTCTTTTAGGCTAAATTTATTTTAACGAAAAACAACAAGTCCTGTAAAAATATCATACTTTTAAAATACGATAATATATGACTGATTACTGAATTGAATATCCCCAGCTATCTTTCTTTCCTTCTCTTGCTCAGCCAGTTGTTCTCAAATAAGATCAGCACAATACCATTAGATGTCGATCATCGCTTAATGATGTTCGGCAGGCGCCTCGTTCTCTTCAGGAATATAAATTAATTTTTTTTTCTTTTTTTTAAAGTAGCTTTACAGTTATTTATCACACAATGAAACGAACGCTATAGTTCCTGATGCGGGTGAAAATCGTAGAAAATATTACAACTACAATGATGCGTTTTCCTATAGATATCTTAAGATGTTAGACAGTACAATGTTTCTCGCTCACTTTTACAAATCATAGACGGTCAGTCAGAACTGAACCCAGCAGTAACCATATACACAGAATTATGCCAATTTTCTACTCCTATAAAAACCAATATGAGTCAGTTTGATTGGAAAGCATCAATTCTGCTTTTGGTTGCAAAGAAACTCATCGACAAGATCACCGAGCATAGTCGCATTCATGACAACCTCTTGCTTCCTTCACAGTAAAGCTGAAAAATCCCCCAGAACCTTGTTTGTTCATGTCCACGGCTATAGCCTTGTCATTTGCTGGTCTTGAAGTGCAAAGCTTTCCATTGGCAGGGTTGAAGTACATTTGTTCTTTGTTTGTCATATTCTCCATATTGTGGCGTTTTCTGCTGTTTAAGAGTTGAAGCTTTTGACCAGATTTAAGGCTCAAGTTTCCTTCGACGAGGCTATTATGATTACCTTGGTTCGTTTGGAATCCTCACTGATTACTACAGGAGCCAACACCTATCCTTTAGGATTTGATCGGTCCTAAATCTTTTCCCGAAGGTGCTATGCTGATTATAATTTATATGACAATGTTACGCGTCAAAATTCCCAGAAAAATCGGAACAAACTGTTCATATCAATTGCTCCGCCCTCTAAAACATTTTAAATGACAGGTCTCCTTTGTCATAAGGTATTCTCGGAAACTAGAAAGCTCTTCTTTGTGATCATACGAACTTCTGCTATAGGTAATCCTTCTTACAAAAGGGATTTTTCTATACATGAAATCTCATCTCCGTTAGTTCTATTAGCAAGGCTCCCCCGAAATGAAGTTTGCCACAGAAGGCAAATAGGATCTGCTAAATAGAAACAAGTTCAAGAGAGTCAGCGGTCTGAGTAAAAACATGCCAGCGCCAGCTTGGATAGACTTGTTATGTTTTGTTATGAGTTGTTATTCCTCAACCGTCATTGTTCACTAATTCAATCCGCAGTGTGTATTTTTATTTTTCTTTCACTGGGAAAGACTGTCACGCCTACTGGAACTGGAACAAATAAGAAGCCCACGGAGTACATTTCACTCTAATTTCGTCCAAAGGTGAGTTTACAAAGAATTCAGTTGAACTAGCAGGTCAAGGATAACCTCGAACTTAGTTTTTTAAGCCATTTTAATTTTGATCTTCATCAGCCGCTCAAATATTACTTTCTGGATGATTTTTTTACGAAAAACGTGTAGAGAAATCTAGCGTATCCTTAGAGCTTCATCGCTCTTCAACACTGAAATTCGAATGCATGGCAAGCGTTTTCTCATGATATCAACTTTAGTATTTTTTTTCACTTTGGGGAGTATCTACATTAATAGCTTCCTCCATAGGAAGGATTTCGATATCACAACTTAAAGAATACAGTCATTTCTATTTTTAAACAATTATTGACTCCAATCCTTTTGTTACCTCTGCCGTGTATTACCTTCTTTTGTGGGACTTGGAAAATATCATTTGCTTCTGTCTTATTTTCTCAGCGAAGGTAACTAAGGAGTCAGCTTATATGGGCGAGGAATTGGAAATCAAGATATGGGATTACCGAAAGCTGAAAATCTGCAAAACTCTCGGAGGAGGTTCATTTGGAACAGTTTATTTAGCAAACTGTGTCGAGCCAGATGGGACCAATCCAGTTGTGATGAAGGTCATACACAACTCGGTTGCTATGAGAGATGACTCAAGAAGGCTTTTCATGAAGGAAGCCGTATTATTAGCAAGTCTCCATCATAAGAACATCGTCAGAATTTATGGTATTTGTTTAAACCCCCTTACGATTATCATGGAGTACGTGGTTTTTGATTTTGAGCCTTTTCAAAGAAATAGGAAGGTCAGTTCTTTAGATGGATTTCTATCGGAGATCTCTGGAGTGCCCCAATCCGAAGAACATCGATTTGAACAGTTCATTTCAAAGATAGCAGTTGATGTCGCCACAGGAGTCGCTCATCTTCATGGCCAGAACATTGCTCATCGCGATCTTAAGCCGATGAACATTTTGATCTCTAATCAGCATTACTGCAAACTTCAAGACAGGTGCCAGATGATGAGACTTAAAGCAGAGAGACCAATAATATGCAAGCTGGCTGATTTTGGCGAGAGTCGTTCTCAGTGGCTGCAGACAAACGGGCTCAGGGATCCCGAAACTAGCCAAGTATTCAGAGGCACAATTGCTTTCATGGCGCCAGAGATTCTGTTGCGAGAACCAACGGTACAAGGAAACAAACTTACCATGGACGATTTGAAAAAAGTAGATATCTGGGCGTTAGGAATGGTCTTTTACTGCCTGATTAATCCGGCTGACCCATGTCCATATGAACGAGATGGTTGCAATCACTTCGTGGATATTATGAAATTTCAAAGACAAAGAAAACTTCCATCCTTTGACCCAAAGTACGTGGGCAAACAGTCTTCAGCTTGGAAACATGTTAAAGATGTCTTTCATGCCTGTACAAACTATGATCCCCTCAGAAGACCAAAAGCTACACAAGTCCATGCTATGCTGGATGCTTCTACCGGCTCCGGTAACCACAGCAGTCTAAAGACAAGTACGTCTCTCTTTAATTCAATTAAAGTTAAATTTCAGAGGGCAGCTTTAGTTGCTTTGATTAACTTAAAAAAACACCTATGCTTTGTAGCTAGGGACCATTACCACCACAATTGGTATCCAGATTTCAAAGCTAGGCCATCGTTACTGTTATTATCAAGGATGATGAACAAGTTATTTGCTTTGATTTTTTTAGCATTTAGGACTTTTTTGCTGTATTTATCTACTATAATGAAATGAATTGCTGGCTCTGATTTTGCAGATGTGGTGCACCTTAATCAAGGATTGTCCAGCACCAGCCAGGGAACTCTTCAGTGGTATGCAAGCACACAGGGGGAGTTTGATGTTAAATACATTCAGGAAAAGCTAAAAGCAATTGCCGACGGTGAGGTGGACATGAGTCGCAATAAAGACTCCCGGGACCTATGCATGAGATTCCGGTGCAGTAAAAAACAGTGGCAAGTCCATTTTCCCGCGAATTTTCCAGCCTCCAACGCCAGCTTGTACGTTGATGGATTGTTTTACACCATGGTTGGGGGTAACACTATAAAAACGTCCGTCAGAGAGCTGATATCAACAGTAATCCAGCCTAAAGGTGCGTTGGTTCATGATGGTGCCGCAAAAGTGATAGCAGATCAGTGGTACGAGAACATTCAAGGAGAGGCAGCTCTCCGATATGTTTTAAACGAGTTGGCAAACTTTGCTGATAGTAAAGTGAGGATGAGTCGACAAAAAGACACCCATGATGTTACATTAAGTTTCACGCGCTATGGAGATCACTGGGAAATCAGGTTCCCACCTGATTTTCCCAGATCTGAAGTAAACCTCTTAAATGGAGATTTCTCTAAAATGGTGGGTGGTGACAACATCAACACCGCCGTCCAAGCTATGATATCAGCAATGATTCAGGCGCAACCAAAACGGGCTGGTGAAAATCTTGTACCAGTGACACGGATGAGTGTAGAGCAGTGGTATGCTGGTGATCAAGGAGAAGCAGCTCTTCGATACGTTTCACGAGAATTGAGGGACATCACTGACAATGAGTTGGGAATGAGTCGCAAAAAAGACACCAATGACATCACGTTAAGACTCAAGCGCAATGGACAACATTGGGAAATCGCATTTCCATCGAATTTTCCCAAATCTAATGCAAGCTTGTTCAAGAGCGGAGAATTCTACGCAATGGTCGGTGGTGATCAGTTAGAAACTGCTGTCAGAGAGATAATCAATCGCATTAAAACTCTCGATCAGCCATCAGCAGACATTTACGGTCACCCTACGAGCGTGACAACTGAACAGTGGTATGTTGGACACTCAGGAGAGGCCACTCTTAGATATGTTTTCGACGCACTGAGGGAAATCGCAGACGGAGAGGTCAAGATGAGGCGCAATGCGGAAACTCACGACATCACCCTGAGCCTTCACCACAGAGGAAGAGAGTGGCAAATTACCTTTCCTTTTAATTTTCCGAAATCCAATGCAGGCGTGTCCACGAATGGAAAAGACAACAAAATATTTGCTGGGAATACCGTTGAAAATTCTGTTAGCGCTTTAATTAATCACATTACAACTGCGTATCCGTCACACTCAAACATTTCATCTGCGTTTCCGTCACACTCAACTATGCTGGAAACACAGGAAAGGGCAATTTGCTACATACAATAGTTTAAAGATCTCGACAATATGGCATCTAGAACATTTTCGTCATACGCGGTCTAGGGTACTTTCTAGCGAAGAGACGCACCTTAATTTCGTTACTGACTTCCAAAATCGGCGAACTGTACCTAGCACCTTAAATATTTTAGCATCTAGTTATTTTAATTTCTTTGATAGTAAGTGTTGTGTGACTTCTAGGACCATCCGCATCCCGGCAGTAGAACATCCCTTGTAAATGTTGCCAACTAGTTTATTTTGATTGTTAATCAGAGTTTTTGTGACTCTTCTTAATATATCTACTGAAGGACCGCTTTGAGCAGAAAGCTTGGGACAAAAGCTCTTATTTCTATGGTGGCGTATTTTGTTTTGTTTTGTTTTTGTTTTGTATTTTTTTTATAACGGAGTAATTAATTCTAATAGTTCCAAGAAAAGCAGGAACAACTTGTCACACTGATTGCATCAACCTCCATTATCCGTCCAGCACTTTATGAATACGTCTGCGCAGCAAGAATACGTCATAATTCCCAGAATTGCTGGAATGTGTTTATCGTGTCTGATCAGCTTAACGTAACGCCGTTCCTGGAAATGGGAAAGTTCTCGAGTTGCTAGTTTTGATGCTTTAATTAGAGACGGTTGGTGACCTCACTCTCGAACATAATCGTTGTGGCATCTTAAAACGTAGAGACCCAAAGAACTCCAACTTTAGAAAATCACCCCGTCGCAGTCATCGCTCGAGCATTTCACCTCTCGTCGCTCTCTTTATTTCGCTATCATTTACCGGTTGACCTTCCTTGTCTTGTTCAGGACAGTCTCAAGGATACTGACTAATTCTCAGTTTTAAAAACTGTTCTACCCTCTGTGTCATTTAATATTTCTTAGATTTTCTCTCCTTAATCTCTTTCGCATTACATTTTTGTCAAACCATAAGGTTTCCATGAAACAATTTCAAAGAGCGGATTGTCTATGACGAATGTGTCATTTCGTGGAAATGTTTTCGTAGGTTAAGCTGCATATCAAACATTCGCCCTAGGATCCAGCTGTGTAAATATTGCAAGAAAACACACAATCAACCGCCAGCATCATATGTATTACCTTCTATTTTCAGCTAGAGGGTATCGATAGCATTCCCGGAAAAAAAAACTTCAAAGGAAGGAAATTTTCATGCTTAACAATACTGACGTTCACCCTGTTTGTTCACGTTTTGTTCAATGCAAGCAGTATCTCATCAGAAAGTTCTTCTTTTTAGATTTCGTCCCAAAAGTTCTCTGAGTATCAAACCATAGTTAATTATGATCAAACGTGTCAGTCGATTATAGACTCCCAAATAATTTCATACCTTTCGAGGATCCTCAACGAAAAACTATGAAACTTAGTGACTTTGCTTGGCCGTGAAATTTATCGAAGCTAGATTTTCCGCAAGATTACTCGTAAAAGATGTGACAGTAGAAATTTCGCGAATACATTGTAATGCGCGCATGTTTACAACAAGTTTATTGGAAAAGAGCTTTCGCGTATTGTCAACCCTGACTTTATTACTATTCATTTATGATTTTATATTTATAGATCACGATATCACTACAACTACGCCTAGGCAGTAAATATGCTCAAATTGAATTACAAACTGAAAATTGATTAATATGTTACAAAAATTACCTGAAATCAATTTAGTGAGCAGGATTGTAATTTTTTAACTTAACTTAATTCTAGGGCCCGAGATCTTTTATAACAAACAATCCAAACACTCTTATGTATATGGAATTATCAATTGTGTAAGTGCTGTACACTGCTATAATTCAGAGGCTACGAGCCTTCTCCTTTTGTAGATTATTGTATGTGTTGGATGTCATCCCTACGTACACGTAAACCGTTTCCCAAATGAAACAATTTCAATAGACAAAATTTCTCTAAAATCGTAGAAACTATTCAGCTTAAATTTAAAAACACATTCGTGCCTTGCATTTAAATATTATGTCAAGATGACAAGCCTTACACACACGTTTAGTTCCTTCATGATTCATATCTCAAACTACTATTTTTCCGCTACAAGGCTTTAATATGCTGACTGAGTTGATCCGAATGATATAGACTAGCAAGCCCTTGCATGATGGTAATGCGAAGAAAAACTCCATCTGCAGCCATGGATACTGCAACGGCCTTGTCCTCGGTTTTAATTGGAGTCAGCTTCCCAGTTTCTGGATTAGAACATTGTTTCCTTATTGGAACACGTCTCCATCTTCGTTCAGTTCAGTCGTTTCGCGCAATCTCACTTCTCTTGCAGAATGTGTTTTGTCGTGAAACTCTTCCTCAAAATTCCTCTAACACTACCACTGAATTTCAATGCAGGAGAATTGAAGACTTTCAGAGAAACTCGCCTAGAATAATGAATATCACATGATTATGTTCAGTGTCGTGCAAGTGTTTTTCAGAATGGAATTGTATAATTATAATCCGCCAGGGTGAAACTGTTCCAAGTAAAAGCAGACAGCTGTCAACTTAATTTGCTCCGCCCTTTGCTTCAATAAATATGACATCGGCAGGGTGTCTTAAACATTCTCAGAAAAAAGGTCACAATGAGTTTATCTTTAATCTTGCACCAGAAATGAAGCAGTGAGTGTTTTTCCAATATTTTAAATTCTGCCGTCTGTAGGAGGCGATCAATTGATTTTCCATAAGAATACGTGATTATTTCATCCTTTTAACAGAAAGAAAGTTAAGTGAGGATAAAACTAATCATTCTTTTCTTTCTTGTCACGTTGTGACATTCATTCAAGAGCTTCCGTTTTTTCCCGGAAAAGGATCATAATAGGAGCACGGCGAACCTGACGAAACTAAAAAACACTGTAAAACTGAAGTTTCTACGCTTTCGTTACCCGCAACAAAAGAATAGAGCGGTGAGAGTTTCGGAAATCAGTAGCAACGCCTGCTTGGTAGCTGAACATCTTATCCTAACAAATTTATTGAAGCTTGACGGAAGCGAATTATAAGCATAATTTAGAGTCACGATACAATTTCCCAGAAAACCACTTCCGCAATATCCTTATAACGCGTATCTCATCGAAGAAAGGTTTCGAAAGAACGCTTAAGACCAGTCAAACCATTACTTGTAGCGATGGCGTTTTGGAATTCATCCCAGTCGCAGCGACGGGATTTTGAGGTGGTAATCTACGAAAATGATTACAAACAGCTATGCGCTTGGGTGCTCAAGAAAACGAACATCGAGACTGGAGGAGATCTGTTTGGTTTGTGGGCTGACAAACACGCTGCTGTTATTCAGTTCGTTGTCGGTCCTGGCCAAGGATGTCGAAGATCTTCAGTATCTTTCTACCAAGATATCAGCTACTTGGAGAAGATTGGTTCGCACATGACGCAACATGAAGGCCTTTGTCATATTGGCGAGTGGCATTCTCACCACCAACTTGGTCTCGCCAGGCCAAGCGGGGGAGACGAGAATACTGTGTGGAACAACATGCCCACCTACAACTTGAAGAGGTTCGTGATATTCATCGCCAACATTGAGTCGTCGCGACAGAATTCCTACAACGTGAACATTGGCTGCTTCCTGTTTGAGCTTGAGAGTGTCAAAGGCAAAGAGAAACAGCTTCCAGTGTTGCAAGGAACGTTCAAGATACTGCAAAAAGAGAGTCCATTTAATGGGAAACTGTTGGAGAAGAGAAACAAGGATGCAGAGAAGGATAACAAGAAAGAAATAGAAATAAAAGATTTAGAGATGAAGATATCGCAACAGCCAGAGGTAACTTATTTCACAAAATCAACTTCCTTCTCGAACAAGAGGCATCAACTTGACGAAGAATCAGGGAATCAAACGGAAATCGAGAAGAAGAAATCGAGAAAAGAGAAGAAAGCCACTTCCGTTGGTAACGAACATACTCAGGGAAATAAAAACATGACACCAGATGACACAAAAAGAGGAGAGTCGAGAGGACAAAAAGAAACCCACAAGACGGTCACCAGCGATTCAAATGAGCGCAATGAATCTCATGAAAGCCAAGCAGAAAACTCAAGTGGAGCACGAAAAAATGACGAGGGAAATACACAGAAGAGTGGAGGGGAAGGAACAGACTCGGCAGGTGACCCTCGGACTCTGGAAAAAAAAGAGGAACATGAAGTTCAACCCGGCAATCAACAGTCAGAGGGTAACGCAGATGCCAGCACTGCTTCCCATAATAAGACCCAAGGAGGAACATCAAACAAAGAGCCGAACGATAAAGAGGGAAATGCAAAGCCAAGTGAAGCAGAAGGCGGAAACTCAACAGATGCAAACGATCAGAACGCCTCTGATGATAAGATTCAACAAGGAAATCCAAGCAAAGAATCAAACAATGACGGGCAAAAAGCAATGACAGAAGAAGGAAACTCAACAGATCAACATTCAAAAGAAGACCAGGACCATGAAACTCAACCTCCCAGTCAAGTTCCGGAAGGTGATGCAACTGATCACAACGCTTCCAAAAATAAGACCCAAGAAGAAACCTCAACTGAAGAGTCACACAAAGACGGGGATAAAGCAATGACAGAAGAAGGAAAATCAACAGAGGACGCAGAGCCACCTCCCAAAGAACCAGACGAGATTTCCAATCAGGTTGATGAGGATCAAACCTCAAGCCCAAAGAAACTTGCGTCAGGGCAAGGGAAGGCGCCTACGGTAGGAAAACAGGCCGCGAAATCAGGGAGTCAGAAGTCGGGAGGTGATGCAAACAATCCACAGAACCGCCTGAAAGACCAACCAGTGCCAAAATCTACAGCTAAAAACAAGTTAGGACCATTACAGTTAAGAAATGGACCAGGAAGTGCAAAGCCAGTAAATCAACAAGCTGGTAAAGAAGGCAAAGTCAAGGGCGGTGGTGAGAAAAAAGGTGGCAAATCTAACAAAAAAAAACCACCAAAATGAATTAAACAAGTTTAACTGAAACATTATTCATCCCTTAACTCATGGAACTCTGAACTTTGCACTAACGCCGTGACAGCTGTTTGTGGCGGTACTCTTATGTTTACACTATTCAAATATCGCAATTTCGGCTTCATAGCTGAAAGTAATCAGGCATTACATATATTTAACTTTTCTTTGTTTTTCGATTGGTGAAGAGAACTTTGTACCTCTATTAACCAATCGATGCAAAATATCCCGACTCAGTAACCTGCGTTTTCATGCGCTTTAAGTTCTCATTGGCTCCTGGTGATATTTTTCTTGTTTGTGATTGGCCCCCTGGTGATATTTTCATCGTTTGTGATTGGCCATGTAAAATTTTCCTTGCTTATGATTGGCCATTTTCTTTTTTTCCTTTTTTAATCAGCTTCATTGGGTAGGACCTATAGAAGTCGTAGACCAATAGGATTGGTGCAAAACGGGACACAAGGACCCATGCGAGGCACCGCCTTTAGAGAGGCACTGCGAGAGTGAAGTGTTTTGCCCAAGAACACAACACATTCACCAGGCCACGAACCCGGGCCTCTCGACCCGGACTGACCATGAGGCCACTGTGCCTCCCACGTATTGTGATAACTATGGTCTTGTTCTCAAGACATTAATCAAAAGGGGCCCTTCGTCCTGCAATAAATCGTGCGTAATGGACTATCGGGTTTTTAACCTCATCCCCTGATACAAATATTGAAGTTATAGTCTCTGTCCAATTCTTATATCCTTAAAAACTAGAACATTAGTACAAAGTACTTGTATAGTTTTACTCTCAGAATCAGGGTACTTTAAAAGAAATTCAGAGAAAGCTTTTGTCTGTTTTAACCTACAGCCAAAATGGCAGCAGTTCAACACAATGAAATCCTTGATTACCTTGTTCACATAGTTTGCCAAAGAGTACTAATGCATTAAAATAAATAAAAGTTATGACATTTTGAGCAATTATTTTACTTGGAAAGAAGGTCTCGAGCCAAAAACAAGCATCCACTGTTACCATGGCAACAAGAGTTTAAGTCTTGAGTTTAAGCCAGCAAGATGTTTGGACACCTCTCCCTTGCACGTTTGTGCTCGCTAGGATCCTTGTCGTTGGAAGTACTTAGTATCCTCTGCCTCTTTCAAAGTACCCTTTTTAATCCAAGTAAGACTAAATTTGGAGAGTTAATCTTGCATTCAAAATCAAAATTTAAAACACTCCCGAAAATTAAAAAAGGCTTATACATTCTCTTGCTCCTAGAAAAGAAATCTTCTCCCATACAAACGCACAAGAGCATTGCCTAGGTGCATAACATTCGAAACCAGTACCTCACGCTAGAACATTTGGCTTTCGTGACGTAAGTAAATAACATGCAGAAAAAATTGAAACACGATCGTTCACAATTTCATGACTTTGATGACGTGGATTAAACTGCAATTTCCCGGAAAACCAACTTCCGAAATAACCTTCTAACGCGTATTTCATTGGAGAAAGGTTTCGAAAGAACGCTTAAGACCAGTTAAACCATTGCTTGTAGTGATGGCGATTTGGAATTCATCCCAGTCGCAGCGACTGGATTTTCAGGTGGTAATCTACGAAAATGATTACAAACAGCTATGCGCTTGGGTACTCAAGAAAACGAACATCGCGACTGGAGGAGATCTGTTTGGTTTGTGGGCTGACAAACACACTACTGTTATTCAGTTCGTTGTCGGTCCTGGCCAAGGATGTCGAAGATCTTCAGTATCTTTCTACCACGATATCAGCTACTTGGAGAGGATTGGTTCGCACATGAAGGGCTTTGTCATATTGGCGAGTGGCATTCTCATCATCAACTTGGTCTCGCCGGGCCGAACGGGGGAGACGAGAATACTGTGTGGAACAACATGCCCACCTACAACTTGAAGAGGTTCGTGATATTCATCGCCAACATTGAGTCGTCGCGACAGAACTCCTTCAACGTGAACATTGGCTGCTTCCTGTTTGAGCTTGAGAGTGTCAAAGGCAAAGAGAAATAGCTTCCAGTGTAGCAAGGTACGTTCAAGATACTGCAAAAAGAGAGTCCATTTAATGGGAAACTGTTGGAGAAGAGAAACAAGGGTGCAGAGAAGGATAACAAGAAAGAAATAGAAATAAAAGATTTAGAGATGAAGATATCGCAACAGCCTATAGGTAACTTATTTCACAAAATCATCTTCCTTGTCGAACTAAAGCTTTATTGAATATTACTAATAGAAGTTGTGACCCAATACGGTTGGCACAAACGGGACACAATGACTTATGCCCTTTAGAGAGGCACTGCGAGGGTAAAGTGTTCTGCCCAAGAACACAACACATTCACCAGGCCAGTCTCGAACCCGGGCCTCTCGACCCGGACTGACTATGAGGCCACTGTGCCTCCCACGTATTGTGATAACTGCGGTCTTGGACTCAAAACATTAATCCAAAGCGGCTCTTCGTCCTGCAATAAATCGTGTGTAACGAACTATTGGATTTTTAAAGGCTGATAGTTTCTAAATAAACTGTTTGGGGCTGCGTCGGTGGGGGTAACGAAATAATTTTGATATATCAACAAAGTTGAAATGGTAAATTGGCCACCGCAACGATTACAAAAGCTGACGTTTCGAGCGTTAGCCCTTCGTCGGAACGTTAGCCTTTTGCTCCGACGAAGGGCTAACGCTCGAAACGTCAGCTTTTGTAATCGTTACGGTGGCCAATTTACCATTTGAACTTTGTTGATATATCCAAATTATATCGGATTTTTAACCCTGTTTCCCTGATAGAAATATTGGAGTTATAGTCTCTGTCTAAATTCTTATATCCTTAAAAACTTGAACATCTGCGTAAAGTACATTTATCGTTTTACTCTCAGAATCAGGGTACTTTAAGAGGAATTCAGAGAAGGCTTTTGTCTGTTTTAACCTACAGCCAAAACGGCAGCAGCTAAACACAATGAAATCGTTGATTACCTTGTTTACATAATTTTCCAAAGGGTACTAATGCATTACGATAAACAAAAGTGCTGACATTTTGGGCAATTACATTAGTTCCAAAGAAGGTCGAGCAATGAACAAACACCCTGTTACCATGGCAACAAGAGTTTGAACCTTTCCATCGCAAGATGTTTGGACACCTCTTCCTTGCACGTTTGTGCTCGCTAGGATCTTTGGCGTTAGAAGTAGTTTGCATCCTTTCCTCTTTTAAAGTATCTTTTTTAATCCAAATAAGACTCTATTCGGAGAGTTAATCTTGCATTCAAAATCAAAATTTAAAAACACTCCCGAAAGTTAAAAAAGGCTTATACATTCTCTTGCTTCTAGTTAACAAATCTCCCAAACAAACTAACTGAAGCATCGCCTAAGTGCAAAACATTCGACACCAGTGCCTCACGTTGGAACGTTTGGCTTTCGTGACTTTAATCAATAAAGAATATGAAGAAAAAGATTGTCACACGATCGCGCGCAATTTCATGAGTTTGTTGATGTGAATTGAATTGCATAATTGATCAGCAAAGGTTCTGGGAAGGAACTGTCCCAAGAAAATGTGAAAAGCTGTCAAATTCATTTTCTTGGCATTGTGTTTTGACCTGTTTGTCATCCGGCGGGTGTTTTTTTGAATTCTCAGAAAGATTAACATTGAATATGTAAATTTTTCACACAGAGTCTGGAATAATGCATTGCGTTATTGGGCTATTACGGGTGTGGGAAACGATAAATTGATTTTAAGGTGGGCACATAAAAACAGTTCATCCTTTTCAGAGAAAGAATGTATCATGTGGGTGGTTGTTATTTTCATCACATTTTTTTTGCCACGCTGTGACATTCACTCAAGTGCTTCCGTTTCTTCCAGGAAACCCTATAAAAGAATCATAATATTAGCCAGAGGGATGTGACGAAACTGAAAAATCTCAGCAAAACTGAAGTTCCTCATCCTCTTTCACTCGAAGAAAAAGAATAGAACGCCAAAAATGTCAATTCTGAGCCATGTCTGCATGGAGCTGCATGCTAACAGCTCGTTTAGTTCTATTACCGTATAATCTCTCAAAGAATCTCGAGTTTGTTTACGGTCACAGCATATATATTTCTCGGAAAATCTAACTTCCGTAATTGTAATATTCTCACGGAACATTGTTTAATTGACGAAAACTCACCAGAAATTCATTCGAAACCAGTAAGGGTTCAATCTTAACTGGTACTGATGGACCTCTTTAGCTCTCGAGAGAAAAATGTCAATCAGAGGAACTTAGAAGTTATGATCTACGAAGAAGATTACAAACAGCTATGCGCTTGGGTGCTCAAGAAGACGAACATCGAGACTGGAGGAGATCTGTTTGGTTTGTGGGCAGACAAACACACTGCTGTTATTCAGTTCGTTGTCGGTCCTGGGCAAGAATGTCGAAGATCTGCACATTCTTTCTACCAAGATATCAGCTACTTGGAGAGGATTGGTTCGCACATGACGCAACATGAAGGCGTTTGTCATATTGGCGAGTGGCATTCTCATCATCAACTTGGTCTCGCCAGGCCGAGCGGGGGAGACGAGAATACTGTGTGGAACAACATGCCCACCTACAACTTGAAGAGGTTCGTGATATTCATCGCCAACATTGAGTCGTCGCGACAGAACTCCTTCAACGTGAACATTGGCTGCTTCCTGTTTGAGCTTGAGAGTGTCAAAGGCAAAGAGAAACAGCTTCCAGTGTTGCAAGGAACGTTCAAGATACTGCAAAAAGAGAGTCCATTTAATGGGAAACTGTTGGAGAAGAGAAACAAGG